TGGAACACACACACACACACACACACACACACACACACACACTATAGGGATGCTGCTGCTGGTCCTGGGACCACGCTTTGAGAACCACTGGCCTAGATTTTGGGCTTTACTGAGCAAAAGTAGATACTTATTTCACATAACCCATTACTTATGCAAATTTCTTGTTAAACTTATTAAAAGTGCTTAAATGTGTGCCTATAACCATTTCCTACTGTATTCCTCTACAAATATTTCAGAGTATTCAAAAATTTGTTTATTTCATATCCTTGTTAAAAGCCTTATCATTTTTGCTGCCCTTTGACAAATGTAGCTCTTTTGTACCTCTTTCCCACTCATCCGTTTAAATCCCAAATAGTTTAGTCAAGTATAGCTGAAATACAGGCAAAGGCTTTGGAGGGACTGGGTGCTCTGGAATAGATCTGGTCTCATTCTCACACCAAGGGGAAGTAGTAGCACGAAACACAGATAAGCGTTGGGGGGCAGCCGAGGCTGCCTGCAGTAAATTTCGCCTTGAGGAAGTTTAATAATCTGGTACCAGAGATACCAGACAGCTGACATTGATCTGACACTGATTGGACAGTTTCACCTTTCGTAAACAGGACATATTTTCACAAACTCTTTAAATCCTTGTGTTCTTTACTCAAATAATAAGTAGTATTAATTCCATTTGTGTAAAAATGTTAAGGTATAATAATTATCTGGGCCTTCTCAGTGGCTTTATTAGCCATTTCTGAGAGTCCCTTGGCAGTAACCATACTGAACAGCACTGGGAATCAGAAGAATTTAATCGACCATCAGCAATTTACTTAGTTCCAGAAGATTAAGGTTTTTTCTATATTCGGGAGTTAGTCATCAGGGAATTTGACCTTTCCATGGTGAAAAATACACTTCTGCAACTGACTGATGCCTAAAATTCTACAAGTAGAATGTCATTCCTTTGGCTTAAGGCTTTTTCCCTGTTAAAATGCAAGTGACCCTCCAAAGAGGTATCATTAAGCCTTATAATCTCAAAGTAAAGGAAGTTATCCCTTTCCTGAGAGCATGCTTTCCTTAGCAAGGAGGAGGACAAACGAGGACACACTCAGAGTTGGTGCCAAGAAGCAAGGTCGGGGGGAATGGAGACAGAGGAGACGGAGGATCCCAATGACAGACCTCCAACTCATTCACTATTTTGCTGAAGGGCTGTCCCTGTCAGCATCCCTATTGAAATGGGTGCTAACTTGCCACTTGGAGTAGGTTACTTAGAAATCGGCCATGTTTTCTGATAATATTGAAGAGTCTTTGATGTGTAGGCATACAAAGGTTTAGAGCAATGGAAAAATAGATGGCAATAAAACATTTGGTGTGACAACAGATAGGGAGTTAACCCCCAAATCGGAAGAACCATACATGTCCATAGAAAGAAGATAAACCAATATTACTTTATAGAGTGCAAATCGCAAGGCCGGGACGAGGGTAAGGCACTAACATGGCCCTGAGAGTGGGTGCCTCCTTAAATTTTGCACCCCAGGCACCTCACTCACCCCACTCTAGTCCTGGCACTGGCAAATCATATTAAAGTGAAGCCTGGCCATTGTGTTACAGACTTGATGATAATGGAAGGTTCTCTGGAGGAACAGAGCACTGACTGTGAACTTGTTTTTTTAATAAGTAGTTTGTTGATGAGGAAGAGAGCAGGTGGCGTGGACACATCTGCTCAGACTGATGGGTCCAGCGGGATCACAATCTGACCCACATTGTCGGAGAGTTAAAATGGGTGTCCGGTGACGTGCTTGTTGTGAGAGCCTTGCAGACTCTCCTCTGTCTCTGCACATTCAAGGTAATGATTCCAGATCAACTGGTCGATCTGTGGTCAGTAAGCTAATGCAAGCTATTTTGCTGCCTGCGGTCTTGCGTCCTTAAAGGGTGAGCTGTCGGCTAGGGATGCAGTTCAAAGAAATAGGGACTGAGGGGCAATTTGGGGCCATGTGGGAGGCCCAGGTGAGAGACTGAGACAGGCAAAGGACAGGAGACAGCTGCGAAGCTTCCTGTTGTGCTGAGAACGACTTGCTCCCTACCCTCAACGTTTGAACCACAAATACATAATAAACACCCACCAAGGGCAAAGTGCTCTTAGCTACCTGGGGACGACTGCATCTACTCCTGCCTAGGCAGAAGTCAGTCCAGTAGAGCCACCTGCTGCTATTGGTTAGAATCAGAGGAAACAAAGGGACAGAAACAACTTGAATTGGAACCTGACTTCCTGGGGCCAACTTCATTTCACCTGTATCCCTTCTGTATTCCACCTTCAAAAATTGTTATCACTCTTCACACTAGTAATAGCGCCAACAGTCGCTTCTCTGAAAGGCCTCCTGAAAGGGGCTTTCAGCCTCTCTTCTCCAGCCTTGGCAGAGTAGGTGCACGAGGCAGCAGACACTGTGGCTTGTGCCTGGGTGGAAGACAGAGTTGTTGCTATGATACCCAAGGGGAGGCGAGATGTTGAGTGTGAGGACTAGGAGAGTTGTCCGGTATTATGTTAATCAGAGATTGGTAGAAATTCTACAGTTTGGTTGGTTGTTTGGGACTAGGTCCACCTGTTGCAAAATAGTAAATGAATATTACCAGTCCTCAGTGTTACCTCTGACCACATCATCTCTGCCCTGAATCCTCTTATGCTAATGGCAACACCACTGGGCATTAGAGGGCCATAGTGAAGATGTAGAAGACCTTCTAAAAAATTCCAGGCATACGGTAATTGAAAAATGTCAAGGTGTCTGGATATTCAGCTTTAGAATCTTTCTGGAAAACCACCAGAGGTGGCAAGGTGAGGGGAGAGGCAAAACCCACTAGAAGTACCAAACAAGAAGCTTCCAGAAAAGTTAGCGGAAGTAACAAGTCCTATACTGTGTGAGTCTCATACTCTGCTTTAGAGCTCATAATGGTTCTGGAGTAGAGGGCCCCGGCAGCCTTTCACTTTTGTTAGGCAAAAGCACAAACACTCCTTCATTTCCCCACAGAGGAAAATGTTTCCATCCTTTGGGATTCTGAGTCCGGGGCAGACAAGTGTGTGGCATTCATATATAAATTAAGGCCAGGAATGAATCTTATTTTATTTCAGGCAAAACCTCTGAAATTTGGTCAGGATCCTTGAACTAAATAGTTGGTTCACTTTCAAAAGCAACTGGGCTTTCAAGAACTGTCTATTATTTGAGGTGGCTTCTGTCTAAATCAGGGGGAGGTGCTGGGCCTGGCCTGTACTCAGAAGTCTAGAATTCAGAACTGTACCAACCAAGGGCCCAGGCCTAGGGCTTCTATGTGAGAGGCCCAAGTGCCCTCAGCGCTCAGTGTGGTTTTCCAGCTGCTCTTCCGCTGTGTGGGCAGTTGGGCTAAAGAGCTTGCTTCTTATTGAGACCTGCCAAAATCAAGATCTGCTTGTCTCTGGGAGCAGTTTCCACATCCTCCAAGAGGTTGACCAATGAATCTGTTGGGTGGGGGCTGAAGGAGGAAGAGGTCAGGGGACTCTCTTTGTGAAGCAGGCTACAATTTCATTTGACTTTCCTTTTTCCCTCTTGGGAATGGTGGACAATTAATCCTCCATTATTAGTCAGCCAGTTTTCTTTGTTCAGTGCTATTTCTCCCCCCAACCTCCCAGAAACCAGACATATGAAAATCAAATGAATCACGGCTCTTGCTTTGCTTAGAAAATTGAACTGACAAGGAAAGTTAGTGTCTATAAGCTTTGGCAGCGGGTGGGGAGAAGGGGTCACAATGACTGTCCTGGGACTCTGTCAGCATCCAGTATCCCATTTACCCCAGTCCTTATATTCTCCCCCAGAAGGTTAATTGAAAATTGGTCAAACAGCAGAAAGTAAATGGCAAAAAGTAGCCCTTCTTTTGGGTTATGGGCCATAGCAACTGCAAGGCTGCCTTTCAGATTTTGGATCTATCCTTTTAGTCTATATGTTCTCGGTTTGGAAACAGAGGAAGATTTCCTTTAAACAAAACCAAACCAACCACAAACCACAATCTGAAGTGAATGGTGGTGGGCAAGTTACACTTACTTTCTCTCCTCCTTGAGACTTTGAGGATGCTGTTCCTTCAGCTAAAGACTTCCTGTAATGAATACTATAAGCAAATGAAGCGAGAGTTCTTCGAATGCAGCATGAGCTGGGCACAGACACTAGCTACCGTTTTTGGCAGACATTTGAAGGATCTCAAGGCGCACATGTGAGTTACCTTGGATATATCTGAGTGAACAAGGGCTGCCTTGTTTGTTGGCCAAGCTTGGTTCATCCAAAGCAACCCAGTCCTGACCTTTTCTAGCAAAGCGGGGTGGGGAGGGGGGAGGGGGGGTCTATATGTTTACTAAAACTCATCACCCTGATCTCCGTGTAGACAATCAAACTGAAAAAGGTGTGAAGTTCAGGACAGAGTCACATTCATATTTTGCACGACAAAAGCCATCCAATCAACCTCATGCCGAAACAAGTGCACACCTGCAAACCTCTTGTGGCGGAGAATTATACTGAGGCTGAAGAGGCATCAGGGTCCTTCTGTTTCTCCATGCAGGGCCATCAGGGCCTTGCTGGGAAAGTGAATAATCAGCAATGGCACCCTATGTCCCCTGGATTTGGCAGCCCCCAATCTGCTCTCTCACTTTGCCCCTCAGTGATAGGAGCCAGGGATGGAGCAGCCTGGTCATTGATTTAAAAGATGGCATATGTGCCCTTGCATCTGAGAATTTCTTCTGAGTGCATACTACTTGGGGGAAATAAGGAGAAAATCGGTAGTTAGTAATGGCAAGATTGTAAGTATGAGAACATAAAATGTCTGAAGATGATTAAAGTGCCTGATGATTTTAGTTCTGGATGTGGCCTCTCTCCTGTTGTCCAGAGTGTGAGTTAATGTAAAAGAAATGCAGGCTCTTTTGTTATTTCCATGGTTCCTTTTTAAAACCTTTTTTCTCTTCCCCCTTTTCTACTCAAGCTTAGTAACTCAACCTTGCTTGCTGAACCCAGGGCTTAGCTACTGGGGTTATCAGGGGGTTCGTAGTCTTTTGAAAATTGTGCAATAATTCGCCGAGCCAATGGGTTAGTGGTCTTCAGCAGTTCTGCTGCTGAGGGGCGGGACCTTGGAGTTGCCTTGCTTCCCTTCTTCTGTAGCAAGGCCTTGAAATCATCATTTCTGCCAGCATCTAGGCTGGCACTGCCGCTTGACCCTGCAGAGGCAGCCAACTCACTGATAGGAGACTCAGCCGTGTTCCTTATTGGTGAGTGGGAGGTTGGTCTGCTGCCACCAGCAAAGGCCTCACCAGACTCCTTCCAGCCAAGCAGCTTTCTTTTGGACCTAAATGAGAGAAAGTTTGCTTTGAGTGAATTCATGCGGCAGACATTTCCTAATGCTTCATATAACTTCACGAATGCCAGTGACACAATCTGGGAACTTCTATGCAACAGTCTTGTGAGCAGTTGTACTTACTAGCTTTCTCTCTCTCCACTAAGTCCTCAGAGTCCCTTGTCTGGCCCCCTGTCCCTACATTCCTTTCAATGCCCACAGCTAGAGTCACTTGGCCTATGCCTGCAGGCTCAGTCCTGCCCAGGTTCTGGTACCAAGGAAGAATTTAAGGAGTCAAAGGCTAGTAGCTCAATGACTCTGAATCAAGACAGCCATAAGCTGATCCTGATCTGAACTGGTGCTCCAACTCCAATAACTGGACTCTTTCCCGTTTCCTCATCATGGAGTCTGTGCTTTGTGCTTCTGTCCAATAACTGGGTCCCCGTCTGGTCCCCCTTTGCCTAAGCTCCTGCTTTGATGCTCAGCCTGGTGCCCCACTTCACTTCTTGATGAGATTTTTTGGTACACCAACTCCAATAACTGGCCTCTTTCCCGTTTCCTCATCATGGAGTCTGTGCTTTGTGCTTCTGTCCAATAACTGGGTCCCCGTCTGGTCCCCCTTTGCCTAAGCTCCTGCTTTGATGCTCAGCCTGGTGCCCCACTTCACTTCTTGATGAGATTTTTTGGTACAAGGAATTCTGTGAAGGGTTAAATGTCTCTGACTCAAGGCAGAGCTGTGAGAAAGCAGATGGAGCCACAATAGGCCCTGGGGTTGCTAGGAGATGAGGGGCCTCTCACTCTGCACCTGGTCTTCCCTTCCCCACCCACGTCTCTTCCATTTCACCCAAAGATGTCAGTGAATTGGAGGTGGTGAGGCCCTGGACTGGGTTTACTACATGGGTATCTGAACTTAGTCTCCAGTTTCCATTCTAAGCATTCTGCTTAGAGGTAGCAGTTTTTCTTCTGGTATAAGAAGGAAAGGCAATTATAATAGGAATTTAGGAAATTGGTCCAGACCTGTGGATCACAGTAAATAAATCTTCAGTTGTTCGTGAAGCCACAAACACATCATCATCATCTTCCGCAATCCATTCGGCTGTTTTATCACTGATTACACTTTTTTCTTCGGTTCTTGGTTCCATCGAGCTCCCTAGGCATAAGAACCAGAAGGAATGACTTTGACCACAATTGTAAGGACAAAGCACACTCTCATATGTATTTCATGTGATGTTCAAAGCAGCTCCGGGAGGGCAGCAGGGCAGAGACTTGCTCTCTCCATTTTGCAGAGGAACAGAATGTTCCTAAGGTTAGTGATTTGGCCAACAAAACGTGGAGGGGAGTGATGAAGATCAGCCTGAGTCCCTGTTCTCTCGTGCCTTTTCCATTACAGCAGGTTGCCTGAGCATTCTCTCGTTTTAAATGCATCATTTGTAAAGCTCAAGGACCTGAGAGCAATCTAAAGCAATGACTCAACCAGTGGGTGGGAGTGGGACCTATCTGAATCTCAGAGGGAGCCTGTGGAGTTTGAGGAAGCAGATTCTAAAATTACCTGTGGCTTTGATTTGTTTGCTTGTTTTAGTTGCAATGATTTAACTTACGTTGAAAGTCCAAATCAGCTTAAGGAAGGCCATAAGATTTTGATGTTTGGTGTTAAGGGTTTCAAAAAGGATGAGAAACATGGATGAACCTAGAGGACATTGTGCTAAGTGAAATAAGCCAGTCAGCAAAAGACAAATACTGTATGATTCCACTTATATGAGGTCCCTAGAGGAGTCAAATTCATAGAGACAGAAAGTAGAAGAGTGGTTGCCAGGGGCTGGGGGGATAGGGTGATGGGGAGTTATTGTTGACTGGGTACAGACTTCAGTTTTGCAAGATGAAGAGAGTTCTGGAGATGGATGGTAGTGATAGTTGCACAACATTGTGAATGTGCTTAACACCTACTGAACTGTACACTTAAAAATGGTTAAGATGGTAAATTTTACGTTATATGTATTTTACCACAATTAAAACAAAGAGAGACAAGAAAAACCCCCAAAAGGATGAGAAACATTTTCTAGCCTGGTCTTAAGGTTCCAGGAAGAGCAAGGCTCAAACCATCCAAGAAAATGAGCCCCCTTTCCTCTAGAAGACACTAAGAGAAGCTGCTGCTGGTAACATATTCCACTGCTTGAAGCCTTCCAGCCTGCCATGGCGCTTGAACTCAAGGCTGGGAGGGTACTGACTCCCGCGCATGAAACTAAATTCAGTGTGGCTGGTGAAAAGTGCCGTACGGTGACGTGGAAAGACAGTGCCTAGGGCAGGAGATGCCTGCCTGACGAGGAAGATAAGCTCCTAAGGTCCTAGGGTGCTAAGACCTAGTTTGATTTCACTGCCTCAGCACTGGCGGTTTCAGAGTAGTCTGGCCCAGACTGGGCCTTGGAGATCCACCCCTGGGTTGGTCCCGATCCCAAGGTCAGTGAGACGGATTTAGAGTAACTCAAACCCTCAAGAGGTGTACCCTACTGATTTGGTCGCCCTGGGATCAGGATCATTATCTGGGGGCATTTGCTTCTGCCTCTGGCACTCTGTCCTCACCCTCACCTCTCCTGGAATTGAAAGGAAAAGCCAGCAGACACTTTACTAACCCAGAGGGCTTGCCTCCCTTTCACTGTCAGCCTGTGGCGTGGAGGTTGTCCTTGTACCAGCCGATGGCAGGTGGTCGCTAGTTGGGAGACACTTGGCATCTTCCTCCAGGGTGATGATGGGGCTGAGAGGCAGCCTTGGTTCAGCCGTGTAGGCCTCCATTTGAGTTGTAGGTGAGGTGAGAGGCAGGTATAGCACGCTGGGCTTTTTTGGTACAGGAGGTGGAATCTTGCCTTTCTTTTTCTCAGCTTCTTCTTGGCTCTGGAGGCTAATTCTTTCAGGTAGGGCTCTCCCCTTGGGGCCCTCATACTCCGTACTTCCCTGGGGAGGTTGCTGTGTTCCTGAGAAGAAAGCACCAGAGGAACTGGAAAAAGGCGTGAAAACAAGAGATGAGGGTGCTGTTGACTCCCCCAGGGTTCTGCCCTCAGGGAAGCTGGAGGACTTTGGTTTCCGCACCACGGTGTATATATCTTGAGGGAGTGGCCTCATATGTTGAATTGAGGTCTTGGGGGTCATAGCCAAGGTAGGCGAAGTTAGTGGGTACTCCTCGGGGACAGACGGTGGCTTGTGGACCAAGCTTGGAGGCCTTCGGGCCAGTGGGGGCTTCTCGGCTATGGGAGGTTTTGCCTTTCTCTCTGGCAAGGTGAAGACTTCAGCTCCTGACTCCTCAGCATAGTCAGGGCTCTCAATATCATCTTCCGGTTCAGACTTGCTGACTGACCTCAGGCGAACAGAACGTAAGTCAGACTGAGTAACCATGGGCATGATTGGCTGGTTGGGGCTAGTTTTCTGGGTCAGCTTGGCCCCAAAATTTGTATCCGAGTGATGCCGGCTCACCTTGGTTTTGCTTCGGATGGAGATACTCATCCCAGACAGGTCCAGGTTGGTTGAAGAGGTCAATGGTAGGTCAAACGGTAGCCGTGACTTGGACATTTTCTCCACTGGTGATGTTGGGGGCAGTGATGACTTCCTCTCAGGTACCACTGGACGCACCCGGACACTGCCACTTGGAGGGGGAAAGTGGCCCAGGGTCAAGGACATGGAGACAGTGGGTGTTGGTGTCTCTGACTGGCTGGAGTATCCACTGGAGGGTGACATCAGCCCAGTGGGCCTTCCTGGGGAGGATACCTCCCTGGCCTCCACCTCGATGGAAAGCTGGGAAGGCGTTGTGGCTCTGGAGGTGGAAGGGGAGGCAAGAGACTCTGAGCTGCCCTGAACTTGGGTGCACTCAATGACTGTGGTACCAGTGGCAGTGCTGGAGCTGGACAAGGATTGGTAGGTGTCACCAGACTTCCAGTCAGTAAGATACCAGTGGTGGGGGAATTGTGTACCTTCTGGGTCTTTGAAGGTTGGCACAGCTGGGTGACCCTGAGTACCTGGGTGGGATGAGTGATGTCCTTGGTGTTCCAAGGAGAGGCAAAGGCTCCTGGGCCTCTGGTCCTTGGGTAGCGCTGACCCACCGTCTGGCAAGAGGACTGGTTCATCTTTGACCAGCGAGACACTGCGAGTCGGAGGGGAAGGCTTCTTCTTGGCCTTCTTGAGTGAGATGCTCTTGGACCTCTGCCTTCTTTGCTGGGCCTCCTGTTGGGCGCTAAGGGAGGCAATGTTGTCGGCACTGTTACTGCCCTCAGAACTTGTACTGGCATAAGGCAGGGCACAGGCTTCACTGGCCTTCTGCTCCTCGTCATAGTCCACATCCGTGGTGCCTGTGTCTGTGGGTACAGACAGTGACCGCTCCCGGAACCTGCTGGCCCCACCTGGGCCTGTCTCCAGCCTTGAGGTATCACCAGTCAGGAGGGCAATCTTGGAGGGTCGTTCTGATACATGCCTTCGTTGAGTAGAATGCTCAGAGTAGCCAGCAGACCCACTGCATCCTGCTGGGGTATCACGAGTGACAAAGAAGGTAGCAGCCTCCTTAGGAACCAGAGGTGGCAATGTGTGCAGAGAGATCCAAGAATTCCCAGAGGAAGGACTTTTTCCATTTTCATTGTCTTGACTGCTCTGAGCAGTGGCACTTGGAGTCACATAGGTAAAAGCATCTCCCTTCCAGGAAGGGGAGAACGTTGATTCTGTTGGTCCATTGCAAGAACTGGGGACGCTGTACACCATCCCCATGCTCTCCATGCCAGGGACTTTTGTGCCACCACGTGCCTGGAGAGGTTCTTCCGGATCACTAGAAGGATTTCTCAATACTGGCGAGGTGAGATTTGGTAACTGAGCTTTCTGACTGATGGCAACTCTTCCATGAACACCTCCTGGAACTGAATGGCTGGGCTTGATGTCTGAGGTGGTAGAGCGGGCCACACTGCCTGTGGGGCTGTTGCTGTGACCTGGGGGGAGGTAAACACAGAATGTTAGTGGTGCAGCCAGGGATCCCCCAGCAGCCACTGTCACTAAAGAGACAGGAGCACCAAAGTTTTGCCAAGAAGCATTTGCCAACAGCTTGGTCAGAATTCCTTGGTTCTTCCTTTCCATAGATGAGGATACTGGGGACATTGGGTCCTTGCCCATCACCACACAGTGAGTCACAGGGTGCCCTTGAATTGTCCAGATGGCTTCCAAAGACTTTCCAGCTTTGAATATGCCGTTCAGAGCTGAAGTGGCATGTGGGACTACCATGGGTTTTTTCCAGGCTTTCACCTCAGGCTCATGAAATGACCACAGACCTCAGCGTTCGCCTCCTCTGAGATGAGAGCAGAGGATTTCGAACTGGTAAAGGACAGCAGTGTGAACTTCAGCTCCAGCAGTGCATTGGGAGTATGCCACAGCTGGAAAGTTCAGAGTCTGGTTGCATTTTTGACACCTGTCACTTTTTAACTTGGCAATAGGAAAAAGTGAGAATAACCTACAGATGTGAGGAAACCATTCAGATGTTGAAAATCCCCAAAGATTTTCTCATATACACAATTATTATATCATGATGATGTTATATGATGATGATGATGATGATGACAACGATGACGACTACTCTTATGATAATTTATAATAACAGCCACCATTTGCTGAACACATACTACGTACCAGGCACATGGTAGGGAAATTACATACAATAACTCTGATCCTCAGGAACATTCCACTGGGTTGGAATCATCATCCCCAATTTACAGATGAAGAAGCTGAGGCTCAGAGAGGTTAGGGAACTTGGCTAAGGCCTCACAGTTAGTAAGTGGAGAGGCCAGAATTTGTATCCATATCTCTCTGGTCTGTGCTCTTTGGATGACCTTCATTTAATGGCAGTAATGGTTTTGTGAAGATGGCACTTTTAGCGATGATTCCCCCTCTTAGGCATCTATCTGCCTAAATTCGAGATACATAGGTATATTCCACTTATAATGGGAAATATATACATAATGGATTTATTAGCCTGGGAGACCTGCTCTCCATATTTGGTTGCTGCCCTTGACAAAAGGTCCTTGGTTATCCTTAATTACTATATTGGCTTTTTCAGGACATCCAAAGTCCCTCCTCCCCCCCAGTCATTCCTGTTCCCTGTCACAGCAATACCACTTGGGTTGCAGAAATGGTGAGAGTGAGCAAGGGGAAGGGTTTGGGGGATCAGCTATGGTGGGGTCACCTTGGTCTCGCTGGGAATAGTTAGAGAATCCAATAATGGTCCGCCTCCGCCTCAGGGTGGACTTGGGGTTCACGGCTGTCTCTGTGTTAAACAACGAGTGTCGCAAACTTGCATGTTTATCAAACTGCTGCCCTGTAGCCAAAATAAAGACACTTGGGTGCATCCTGATTTCTGTTTACAGTATGGCAGAAACTGGCCTGAGGTTGAGAGAAGGGATGATGGCAGTAGCGATGAGCATGAATAGCACCCAGGCAGGCGACCCTTCGTCCCCATCCCTCCCAACTTGGCCCTGGGCACCCGCAGCTCCAAAGCACGCATGCTGGCTTTCAGAGGTCCACCCGGGGTCACCTGTGAGTCTTAGGTGGCCGAGAGCCATGGTTTTCAACCCTGGCTACATATCGAAATAAACTGGGCAGCTTTTCAAACTCTAATAACTAGACCCCACCTCAGAACACTTAATACTCTGGGAATAGGGCCCAAATAGAAGCATTTTCTCAAACTCCCCAGGTGATTGATTGTTCAGATGTACAGCCCAGGGTGAGAACCACTGGAGTGGAGAGACATGTTGAGACTAGATATTGCTTGATTGCAATCTCTTCTCAGAGAAAAGCCTTTATTCAGGCCGATGAAGACAGTGTCTCCAAGAAGCTGCGCCATCCCTCCCCACTATCCAGGAAGCAGTCTGATAGTCTGCCCTCCAGGCACCTGATCACGTTTGATCAAAGTTCGCCCCTGCGTGGTGATTGAGATCTGTTTTTCTCAAAGCACCCACTCAGTCTTTGCTCCTATGGAATTGCTAGGGCAGGGGCAGGGCGGGGGCAGTGGGGTGAGGTTTGCTGCTCCCCTGCACTGTCTCTCATTCAGCGGCTGGCTAACCAAACCCTCCCCTCTCAGCCCCATGGCCACATAAGTACCCCCCTCCACAGAAAGTGGCTCTGTGGGCAAAACACAGGGCCAGCCTCGTTGAGAGTAAGGTAGAAGTTCAAAAACAAAGCACCCACCATCACTTTGTGAGTTTCTCCTCTCAGCCCTCACACCTCTTAGTACATCTCCCTAGGCTCTGGGCTCTATTTCCTGTCTCTAATTTCCTGAGGTGACACCAGTGGCGCTGGATTACCCCATATCCAGGGAGTGTCACCGCCTGTGGCCAGAGCTGTCCTCAACATCTTCATCCACTTTTTCCAGCACACCATGGGCTGGCATGGGCTCACAGGGTGCCTCTGGTCCCCTTGGGTTAGGAGGTCTTGATTTCATCAGGCCGTTAGCCCTATCTCCTTCTGAAATGGCTGACCCTCTTCCTCTTCCACTTACAGCCGGTGAAGTGTGGAGAATGAATTAATAATGGGCATGGTACAGGGTGCCACATGTCCCCAGAGACACAGCCAGCTGAGCTGCGTACATTATTTTCCCCATCTCAAGGTAGTACTGGATCCCTCTTTGGTCTCACCCAAGTGGAAGAGGCCCACCTCACTAGGAGACTGAGTGATGACTCAAAGTGCCACAAGGCCCTTGGTCTGTACTCTGGGTCTGATCCTCCCGTTTAGTGCTTGCTTCGGCAGCACATATACTGATCCTCCCATTTACCGCCAGCACTCTGAACCCCACACTTCCCCTGCAACTCCTATCTGTGTGCTCCAAACCCGGCTTCTGGCACAAGAAGTCTTCTTTCCCCAAACCAAATATAACTCATACACTCTAAGTTTCCACAGATGCTCCAAAGAGCACATGAATTCATAAGGTTTTCGAGTTTTCTGTTAAGAGAGTTTCCTTTGCCATCAAATGGTCTCAGTTAGTGTGGCAGGGCCAGTAGAGAGTGAAGAAAGAGCATGCCTCCGTTCCCGGGCGAAAGCCATGACCTTGACAGTGCAGGGTGAGCCAGTAGCAAAGCAAGTCTCGCTCCCTCCCCCAGCACCCAGTGCATCTGGAGAGGATGATCTGTAGTTGGCATGGAGGGAAGCGAACAGAGGCGATGCTAAACAACTCTACCGGAGACATTGATGGGCACGATGTCAGAGTGCGTGGGACAAGGCTGAAGCCATCGCTTCTCCTCTAGGATGGGCAGAGGGAAGGGACTATTCCAGGCAGCTTGCTTGTCGGCTGTGGTAGGCAGGCTCAGGGAGGCCTCAGGGGCCCTCACACCCTGCATGGTAGTCTCATCCTCGCTCAGCTGCCATTTTGTGGGCTGTTGGGAAAGAAGGTGATGGGAAGGGTGTGCTCCTGACTGGAGACGAGCCGTGCCCACAGAATGGCTGTCTAGGCAGGGTGGTTGGAGGCTTCATCTGGGAGGCAGGAAAGTGTGGACAGGCTGCCAGGCCGGACACCTGCCGTGCAGGTCCCATCTCGGCAGGGCCTCAGGATGGCTCTGCTGGTGAGCAGAGATGAGCAGCAGCTTCCAGTGGGTAATGTAAGCAGTTCCAGGTTCCCCGTCAATGGGTGCGGGGCGAGCTCTGCATGCTGGCTCTCTCAGGTTGGGGAGGAGGCAACTCACCATCAGTACAAACTCCAGACGCCTGGCAGACTGGGGCCTTGGGCTGGGAGTGGGCTCAGGGGCCTCATCAGCAGAGCGGAAGGTCTGCCCCAGAAGTCTGGCCTCCGAGTACTGTTCCTCATATTCTTCTGAAAAACAGCACAGTGGATACACACTCTAGGGAGCCACGGCCAAGTGGTGGGCCAGGGAAGGACCATGAGCTGGGGGCTCCTGTTCTAGCTGCCAGGTCTGACTCTCATTGTTTCTTTAGGATAGTTCCCGGCGTCTGAGCCATTTGGGAATGGAAAAATGCCTACTTCCTATGAGGAGAAAAGAGAGTCAATGGATTTGAGTTGTGCTGGTTCGGGGACCAAGCCTTTGTCTCCATGGCCCCCACCTTAAGTGCTCAACTCAGGAAAGAGGCTCAGGATGCAGACGCCTTTTGCTACTCTCTGCTGCAAGATTCTCTCTTTGAAGTCCTGCATCTCTTCAGGTTTTCTGCAACCCTACCAGGGACATGACCTGTGTGAAGCACAAAGAAATTTGCATTGGGAAGTCCAACGTGGAATGCTCCCTTGGATGCTGAGAACTCTTACCTGAGCCTCTGAGGGCTCAGTTCCCTGCACCTTAGTTCCACTGTGGGGGCATATCAGGTCCAGGAAGGAGAGGGAAGGTGGAGGTAGTGGCAGAGGAGGAAGGAGAAGTTCGGGGGCATCGTTGGGGAATAAGAAGGATGCAGAAGATTTGAATGGGTTTCATTTAAGTGATGAATTCAATGAGTGAAGGAAGTGAGACTAAAGAACAGTCAGGACTCTGCACATTTGAACAGAGATTTGAAGAATCATAGAAACTTGGGGTCAGGAGGGGCCTCGAGGGTTCTCTGGTCCAACATCCCATTCTGGGCTCCGGCTTCCTCAGCATCCCTTCCAGGTGTTTCTTCAGCCTCCACACACACCTGCCTGCAGAGGAGGGGAGAAGCCTTCCTCCCAAGGTGGCTCATTCCATCCAAGGACAGTTGGGGCTTTCAGGCATGTCAGGAAAGTTCTTCCTTATCTTGAGGTAAATTGGCCTCCCCCTAGGTTTCCACCCACGTGTCCTCATTCTGCCCATGGTGGCAACACAGAGCACACTGACTCTTTCTTTCTGCATAGCAGCTCCTCTCTTATCTGAACACAAGGCTCATGGTGTCCCTTAGAATCGTGCTTCTCTAAGCTTGCCACTGCCCTGGCAGGGAGGTGGGGTCATGGCCGTTGTTCAGTTGGGTGGCCCCTCTGCAGTTTTCTGTTCTCCGTAAAAGTTACCCTTTGTTGGTATGGATAAATGACAGCTAATAAGACCTCTTTTCACTTTTAATGTTCACTCAGCAAATGTCCTCTTGGGGATCCAGCCCTGTGCCAGGTGCTTCTGGAAACCGGAGAGTAGTAAGAGATGTGATCCTTTACATTCAGAAGCCCAGTCTGGTTAGGTGGACAAAATATATACCTGGGACTAGTAGATGAATGAGTAAATGAATGAACAAATGAAAGAAAAATCAGTTTGGAGCTATACAAGTCCTCTTGAGCTGGATGGTACAAAGGGCCTCGTGTGAGTGCTTAGGGAGGGAGTGATGCGAAGTGCAGAACTAGTGTTAAAGGTCTTTTTTGATGCGGCAAGAATAGAACTTGGAAGAAAGTGTAAGGATTGGAGTGGGGAAGAGGGAGTAAGGGCTTTTAGGCTTGGAAAAGAGGCCCGAATGGGAGAGTGAGTGCCTGGAGGGTGTAAGGAGCTTGTGACTAGCACTGGGGTTTTATTTGTATTATTTTCTCGAGATCTAACTTACCTAAAGTGCACAAATCTTAAGTGTGCAGCTCAGTGAATTCTGACATATTCATGCCCCTTGTAACTGCCATCCAGATATTTGTAGCACCCCAGTAGTCTCTCTCATAGCACTGAGTTTTAATCCTATTGCCACTTACACTGGATAAATCCCTCTGGTCAATGTGTATGTTCTTCACATTGTAAGGTCCTATCGGGGACCACAACTGTTTTTTTCTTTTACATTAATTTTAATATGGTGTCGAAATCAGCCTATGTTCCAAAGGACACAGACTGGGAGTAGATGTTGCATCTTATCTGGGTCTCTCCAGCTGCAAGATACTCTTACTAATCAGTTTATGGACACCCTATTTTTAATTCTCACAAAATCATGCCATGTGGGGAAGTGGAATCCCCATTTTAAAGATGACTGACTAATCTGAAGTTCAGAGAGGTTGGGTAATCTGCATAATGTCACACAGCTAGTTAGGTGTGGGATTCAAATTAGATTCTGACTCTGTCTGATTTCAAAGTCTCGGTTTTCTCATTCTGCCTGGTGCAGGCAATCTGACTGCTCAGGCATTATGGCTGGGCTGTTTCTCTGGGTTGTGTGGACCCAGCTTTGTGTACAAGGTGCTCATCAGTATACTTCAAAGACATGGGGTTGGGAATTGGGGATGAGGTGAGCTCTGAGTGCTGTGTATTGGGCTTACTTTGGTGAGGCAGGAGCGACCCAGGAGATATGTGGACAAGGTCATTGCAAGAGCAGAGTGAGTGAAGCCCAGAGTGGGAGACCCTGCAGATGCCTCCTTTGTCTTTGGGCGCCGGGATTCCAAAGACTTGGGTGATGTTGCAAGAGAAGGCCTGAGGGTATGCGGGCCCATATTGCGGGAGCCTCTCATCCAGCGCTCTTTGTAAATGACTTGACCCATGGCCCTGCCTCGGCCTCTGTCCCTTTTCCCCCAGAGACTACTGAACTGAAAAAAATGAGGGAGGGGGACCAGAGGGTGTAAACAGCCGTAGAATTAGGGCTTTTGGAGTCAGTAGTCTGGAAGGTGAAAGATGGAAAGTGTGTGTTTTGTTTCTCAGTAGGTTTTCTACTATTCTCTCTCTTTATCTCGCGAGTCCCTGTCCTCTTTCTTCGTCGCCTCCCTCCAGACGCTATGCCTCCGTCCCGTGGGCTCCGGCCGCAGCCCCCCTCCCTCTCAGTACCTTGCAACAGGCTCTGGAGATTGAGCTGCGCCTCGCGAAGCAGCTCCTCTACACTCGGGGGCCTGCCCGAGGAGAGGAACACGTTCACTGGCTGTCGCCATGACGACCTCGAGTGGGCAGTCGCTGTCGCATTTTCCCGACCCGAGTTAGCTGCAGCTAGGGAAGGAGAGAGGCAGTGAGAGGCGCCGCCGGCGAGGTGGGGGGCCGGGGGCGGCGCGCGGCGGCCAGTGGGCGCCCGCGGTTCCCCAAGACCCGCCCCGGCCTTCCTCGACAGATCGTGCTGCAGTCCATTCTCTCCCTCGCCACCAGTCTCCGCCCGCCCGATCTTCGCCTCGCTGCCTTGCCGCCCGCCTCCTCCGCCCGGCGCCTCCTGGCTCCCGCCGCCGCCCGCCCTTTGCGCTCCCTGGGACGAGGTAACGCGCCCTGGGCCGAGCCGCCGGGCCCTTGCCCTGGTGGGTGTGGCTCGGCCTCCCGCGCGCCCCGCCGCCGCCCCCGGCTCCCCATCCCACCCCCGCCCGCAGCCCCAGGCCCCCAGGCTAGTCCTGATGTCCGAGGCGGCCGGGAATCTCAATAGCCTCCGCATGGCGAACGTGGCCCTGCGAGAAGAATTAAATGCCCTTCGCGGGGAGAATGCCAATCTGGGCCTTCAGCTCGGCAGAGCCCTGGCCGAGGTCAATTCCTTGCGGGGCAATGTCTCGAGCTACATGCGTTGGCCGGTGCCCGTGGTGCCCGTCCTTTCCGAGGAGAACTTTGAGTTCCCGCTCAGTGAGATTGACGCCGTTCCTGAGGGAGAACTGCCCTTCCTGTGCTGGCCTCCCCCGCGCGCCGAGCCCGAGTACGCCCCAGACGAACTGTTGATTAGCGTGATCCAGGATTGCGGCACCTCCGGCGGGCCCGCCGACCCACCCCCGCTGCCCAGCCC